GGTTTGAACCTGCCACCTTCAGTATATGAGGCCAGCACCCTACCTACTGAGCCACAGGCACTGCCCATTTTGAGGATTTTTTAAAAACTTACTTAGAAGTAGGATCTTTCTCTGTTACCCAGGCTGGATTAAAGTGGCTTCATCCTAAATCACTGTAGCCTCAAACTCCTGGGTTCAAGTGATCCTCCCACTTAAGCCTCCTGAGTTGCTGAACTATAGGTGCATGCCACCATACCCAGCTCATACATTTATTAAATGGATTTATTAAACCAAAGTCTAAGACTTCTTATTCTTCCTATGGAACTCCATCTTGCTGGATTTTCACCTATTGATTCATCTTGTCTAACTGAAGTTGAATCCTGATTGTCATGTAATACATTTCTCCTACATAGTATCTCCTATTTTAATATATGTTGCCAGTATGACCTTAAAATACCCTCAGGCTAGTCATTAAAATGACAAATGCAGCAACCCACTATAGACCAGAGCAATTTAGTAGTCTTAATAGGATAATAAAGAGTAATTCTCAAAATTACTTGAGTAATTTTGGATAACCAGATAGTATATGTTTTTGTTTTCTTCTCTTTTCTTTTCGACAGAGTCTCATTATGTCACCCTCTGTAGAGTGCCGTGGCATCGCACCCCACAGCAACCTCAAACTCTAGGGCTTGAGCGATTCTCTTGCCTCAGCCTCCCATCTAGCAAGGACTATAGGCACCCACCACAACACCCGGCTATTTTTTTGTTGCAGTTGTCATTGCTGTTTAGTTGGCCCCGGCTGGGCTTGAACCCACCAGGCTTAGTGCATGTAGCTGGCACCATAACCACTGTGCTATGGGTGCTGAGCCTGGATAATACAGGTTGATGTGGGAAGTGTGAGTAAGTTCAGTACTGGGAACACAGGTTTAGGCAAAATACCCTAAATGGAAGTTTGGGAGAGTGTTGGGCAGGGAAAAAGATGAGTAGGACAATGGCAGAGTTAAACTCTACTCCATTTTGTCTGGTGTCAAAAGAAAAATAATTGAAATGTTTCATTTTATTTTAATCCCTAATTTCAGTTCCAGTTAAAAACAATACAGGTATTAATAGTTCATTATATCTGGCCTAAAATTTTTCATTTAGGTACAAATAAATGTGAAAGAATTATAAACATTAAATTTGGAACACTGCATATCAGGTATACAGGTGCTGTTTTATCTCTCTTTTTTTGGTTATTAATACTTTATTCATTTAGCATTTCACAGTCATATCCATCACAAAGCAGTATGTGTGAGCCACAGACTTTTCCTACTAATCTGGA